GCGAGGCCCAGAAGAACTCTGCAGCCAAGCCTGCCTGGAGAAGCGAGAAGGAGCACTGAAAGGAAGATAAAGCGTGGCCGGCGGCGGCGGCGGCGGCTCCCCGCCCCCCAGCCCAGTCCCGCCGCTGTGGCGAGGGGTGTTGCAAGGCAGAGGCGCTGCGGCGCGTGTTCTTCGCTGCTGGCCCGCGGCTGCCACTCGCCCCCACCGAGCCGGAGCCGCCGCGCCATCTGTGGGGAAACTTTGGAGACAAACCACCAAACCCCCTGCGGATGCCTCACCTCCCACTTTCCCTGCGGACCCTGCCGCCGTCGACGGCGCACTTGGCCGCCTCTGTATCCCTCCTCAGCGGTCGCTTCCAACAGAGCAGAGCTGGGGGGTGGGTTAAGTTTGAAGAAGTTCGGCCGGCGAAGCACCCTTCCCCCCCCCCCGCCGCGTGCGCGAGGATCGCCAGCTAACCCTAAAGCAGCCAGCGCCTTCCTTCCCCGGGAATTAGAAGGTCGTTGATTGAGAGGAAGGGCCTGAGAATGCAAATGACCTTCTTCCTTCTCCCTCCCCGACAGCCTATTCCCTCCGCTCTCCGCCGAAGAGCGTTCAACTGCCCCTCTGCCGAGCAGGAGGAGGAGGCGGCGGCGGCGGCTGCAGGAGCAGCAACCACGGCTTGCCTGAAGCTCTGCTCCTTGTGACTGACTGCACAGGGGGCGGGAGAGCTGTTGCTGCTGCCTGCAAGCAAAGTTTCTTCTTATAGTCCTCAGGAGGGGCTAAAGACTTTTCCTGCCAGTTTTCCCAGGGACCTGTGTTCAGTTGCAAGCACAGGTGTAATTGTCCTATATCCTTTGGCCTTTTTTTTTTAAGGAAAGAAATATATGCTAGGAACATCTTTTTTTTCTTCCCCTGAATCCACACTGGCGGATTTTAGTTCCCTCCCCCAAATAACTTTTTTCTTTAAAAAGGGAAAAAAACTCCTCTCGCCAAACTTCTTGTATTTGATGTATGGATTCCCCAATACAATTGTTATGAATTGCTCTCCTTATATTCTTTGGCCTTTCGTGGCCAGCTGAGGGGAGAGATTGCAGAGTTATTGTTTGCTTTCTCTCTCGGCCCCCCTCCCGTTCACTCATTGCCTATTCTAAATTTGATGCCGAAGTTGAAGTAGTTGAATTGGCTAATTCTGAATACAGGCTATTGAGAGAGGCCAGACACAGCAAGTATATCCCTGTATAGCAATGGATACAATGTGCTGAATTGGCAGTCTAATTATAAATGTGGCATTTGGACCTCCTTTCAGAGAGCCAGTGCCACCTTACCTTATGAGGGAACTTCAACTACAGCAACTGTTCAAAACAAAATGCCATTACAGGATCAGCTTCACCCAACACTGGGACTAGCCAGGGGATTGTTTTACAAACAGCCTTTCTCACTTAACACAAGAATGTATTATAAGAAACGCAGTTATGGAGAAGGAGGCAGAGTTTAAAGAAAACGCTTAAGCAGTTCTCTGCCAGGTGTCAAGCTACTTCAAGCTGCAAACGTAATCCAAGTAACCTAATTATTTTCATTCAAATATGTACCTCCCTAAAAATACACTGGAGGAGAGGATCAGATTTATTTTTATTTTTTTTAAAAAAAGATTAACTTCGAGATACGGTTACTAATTATAAAAGGGAGATATCATACATACAGAAATCGGATGCCAAAAAGCGAGGGAGAAGAGTCTTAAGATACATCATATTGTACAGGGCTTCCAAACGTTTTAGACAGAGGTTCGCGTTGCAGGACAAATTTTGTGTCCATCTTAAAAACGATTTGCTTTGTGGCAGAGCGGTTTGATGCAATGAGCCCACACAAGGGAGTCAGTATAAGTGCAAACTAGCTGCAATCTCAAAGCAGTTTCTGCAACACTACCACCTGCCCACCCAACCACAGTCAAACCCACCCAGCTACAGGGTTTTTCAAAAAGTAAAAAGTCACTTTAGACCGAGATGCCCACCAGTTTCAATCACACCGTCATTTTAAAAATGAAAATATGTTTTAAATGTATGTTCCTCTCCCCTTTCAAATTAAAATTAGGTTCAAAGCTGCTCACCCTACTACGATGGGCTATTTAAAAAAGAAAAAGAAACCCACATGCAACCTGTCTCCTTTATCTGCATAACAACAGGCGCAGATATGCTTGTTTATCTCGGAAAGTTTCCCTGTCTGTGTTTTTGGGGGAACACCCAGGAGGACGTAGCTAATCTCCTGACCGCAGGCTCCCAAGCCCCGGCGAGATCACCCTGACACACAGACACAACAACGCTCAATTGCCTTTTCACATTTGCCACCTCTTCCCTTCTCGCCGTCCTTAAAAAAAAAAAACACCCGGGAAACGAGTCCTCCGCAAAGCAGAGGTGGCGGCAATCAAATCAATATGATCTGCGCCTCTGATTGACCCCAAGGCCCTGCTCTGCTCCTCAGACGCGCGCGCACACAAGGAACCCCGGCTGCAAAGCGGCTCCAAGGCGCTCCCAAAGGTGGCGGGGGTGGCGGGGGAAAGCTGGAAGACTTCAGATCCCGCAGCAACAAAAAGCCCGTTATATACACTCGTGCAAGTTGTGTGTGTGTGTGTGGTACAGTGTCATGTTGTATACATCCATACACACACACACACACACACACACCTTCGTGTACTCTGTCCCATACATACGACATACACACCTGTTTTACCACTGGATCAAACAGAGAACTTTTAGCTCCTGCCAAACGCCCTCTCTCATATATAACTTTAGGAATATTTGTAAGGCGACATTTCAACAATACAACGTAAAGCAAAATAAAAGCACCAGGTGATTTCTCTCTCTCTCTCTCTCACACACACACACACACAATTACAATGCCTGGCCAAGTGACATGCAATTTTTCAGAGACAAACCAGATTTACAACAGAAGATTGAAAGATCTTCAAAATAAATTACATCAAACCCATCTTAATTTTTTTTTAAAATAAGATCCTTCTTCAAAAATGACAAACAAGAAGCACCACTTATGAAAGGGGGGGGGGGGCAGCGCTCCCACCAAACCACCTTGCTGCCTCCCTACCATCTCTGCAAAGTATGCTTAAAACTGCGGTTGAAGGCAGTTTCCCTGAGATTAAAGTTGCGCGAAATAACAACAGAAAACAACGACATTAATGCAAAAGAAAATACGTTCTGGGAACTTACTTTGCGTTTACTTTAGGCACTATTCTTTTCTTCCAGCTCGCAAAGGAAGCCGTTTTGTCCAGGTTAGGTATTGTCTACTTATGAATCAGCCCGTGGCTACGGGGTTTATTTTAATTTATGGCTTATGCATTCTTTTAAGGTCGATTTGCATGACCTCCGGCGAGAGCTAAGACACAGCAAGAAATCCCCAGCTGAATGTTGGGCGAGCCCACAATGCAGCCAAGAGCTCCCCTTCTCATGGTGTAAGCAGAGCCCTGTGTGTTGTTGGGCTCTCACTCTTTTTTTCTCTCTCTCCCCCTCCCTGTGGAACACAAATTAGGGTGTGATATCAATTTTAAAGTTTTCAGTATAACTTTATCCCAGCCTCTGCCTGCAGAGAGATAAGGCGCCACAGGAACAGCAAATCCTCGATACACTGCCCCTCTGTGGTCAAATCCAGCATTACCACCTAGCGGTATAATACTCCCCCCCCCCCCGCCTTTCTCTTAAGGATCTGTTCTACAGATATATAAGCACACTAGCAGCGAACTTCTCGGCAAGTTTAACCACCACAAAGTTAACAGAGAAATCAGAGGCGCTAGCAAAGCCCCCTCGTTCCTTCATCCTTACTATCTCCAAGGGTGAGGACTTCGGAGGAATGGCAGAAGCTTTAGGCTCCCAAAGATTGATTTAAGGGCTTTATATTTTTCCTCGCTCGCTTGCCTCTGTTGGTATCACTCTTACGCGCAGTATCTCTAGAGCGCCATGTGTTCGCAGGCAGCGGGTGATCTTAAAATACAACGCTGATCTGTCACTACGTTTTAAAATAGACACACCACTTGGAGGGCGGAAAGGAAAGGGGGTGGGAAGCAGCAGCAGCAGTGTTGTGATTTCAGAGAGAAGCGGGGTCTTTTTTATGCAGCCTCAGGATCCTCCCCAGAGCAACTCACCCCAGGTCAGAAGCGTAAGGACTTTCTCCACCAGTTCGCCTCTTCCCATCCCATCCCAGTCGGCGCCGCCGCCACCACCACCGCCCTCCCCAAAAAGTCCAGCACTAAGCAGCCGCGCCGGGGATTCATTCAGAAATCTCCCTAACTTCACAATCTACCTCCGGACGCCGCTATTGCGGCTGCTGCTAATACTGCTGCTGCTTTGGTCAATTGCAACCAGCAAGCCCTTAAAAGACAGCGGGGAGGGGGGGGGAGAGAAACAATACCGTATTCTCTGGTATAAAGCGACACATACAAAACGTGGAAGCCCCTTTTCAAAACACGACTAAGGAACGCGTCCACCGTCTCTCCCCCCCCCCCAGCCCAACCAGGCTGCGCACCACACACGACCGCAAGTTCACAACAGGTATCAGCAACACAACGAGCGCTACGCCGGTTTGCTTTTCCTAGTTACCTCCTTCGAGATCCAGTGTGGCGTTTTATAAGCCTTGGGGGGTCCTTCCTTTAAAAACAATAACAACAATAAACAAACAAACTGCCGTAGCCGGACGGAAGGAAGGAAAAGGTGAATGAGTGTCTGTAGGGCTGGGTAAACAAGCTGCAGAAATACTAACGAAAGGAATAAATTCACTGAGCTACTGGCTGGCTGCGTTTCTTCGGGCCACGGATGCGCAGGATCCAGATCGTCAGGAGAAGTTTGCTGACGGGTTGCCTGGAGATTTAGTTACAATCGGGTTCATTATTGTTTGTTGTTGGGCTTGGCTTCCCCCTCCCTGCTTCCCCCGCCTCTCTCTCTCTTTCTCTCGCTCCCCTCCTGATACAAGCGAAGGCGCTGGTTTACTGCTGTCAATCTTGGCAATCAACGTGAGCGGCCATGTCGTAAGTATTCAAAGCATTTCCCGTCGTGCAACATCAGAAAGTGAGTGGCCAGGGGCATTGATCGGAGGAAGGCGAAAGGAGGCAGGGCTGCTATATCGCCGCCGCCGCTTCTCTCTTCTTACCCCCACCCCCGACGGCAAGGCAAGACGAGGCAACAACACACACCAACAAGAACACAGCCGGGAGGCAGGGAGGGAGCGGTAAAGTCGGGGGGGGGGGGAGCGTGGAACCGAACGACCCAAGAGAAAGTGAGCACAAAAGAGAAAGTGAAATATCAGTTTCTCTCCCTCCCTCTCCCCTCTCCACCCCACAACAGGCGCGCGCGCGCACTCCTAACCACAATCCCCCCCCCCCAGCCCCCAACCCTTCGCAGTCGCCACTCATCAGAGAACGATTGGCAGACGGCTGCAGTCCTACGCGCTCTTTCCTGGGAGTAAACACTTTGGGGCACAGCGGGACAATCCGCAGCCTTCCGGGCTGCGAGATTCTTAAGCGCGCATCTCTGAACATAAGTCGCGCTGAAGTTAATCAGATTTGCTTCCAAGTAAACGTGTTCAGCGGTTAGTGACGCTTCACCTCCTCCTGCCCCTCCCCGGCCAAAAAAAAGCGTGCCTAGGACTGCAGCCACCCTCTTGGGGGCTTTGGTTTTCAGGGAACTTAAGACTCCCGTGGCAAATGTGTCAGTCGGACTGTCAGCCGCGCAACCGCATTCTGTGCGTGTTTACTTCGAAGTAAGCCCCGCTATGTTCAGTCAATGACGCTCACCGCCAAACGCATGTGTGAAGAATTGAAGTTATACCCATTCATTTCAACAGAACTTCCTGTCAAGGAAGCAAGTGGGGGAATCCTGCCAAAAGTAAGGACATTCATTTAAATGAGAGCTTTAAGCAAGTGCTTAATTTTGGCTGCATCGTGCCCTCCTGTTTGCTTCCGTTGAGTTCCACTGATTTATCTGAATCTTATGTGCAGATGGGTTAATTAAACCTCCATCCTAAGAATATTTATGCAGACGTAAATCCCACTATATAGGATTACAGCCGCGCTGCCAGATCCTATGCTTATTTACTCAGAAGCTTCCGGCTGATTTCAGTGGGATTTACTTAGGTCATGCTGCGCGCGCTTTTAACCTTCGGTGCTATTCTAACCACGCTCACTTGCAAGTAAGTCCCGTTGAAATCAATAGGAATTACTTTCAAGGCAACTGATGTTTAGCCTTCAATCCTATGCCCCACTTACTTACTTGAAGCAAATGAGTCTTTCTTCTGAGTAGACGTATACAGGAGGGCGCTATTAGGTTGGGATAGGAAGGAACCCACATTGACTTTAAACACAACTGCACGCCGATCCTCCTACACAAACTTACCTTGATGTCCCACTGAGTTCTTTTGGACATTCAGTAAATGTGTTTAAGAGTTGCTGCGTTGTTCCCTTGACTGAAATCAATGGGGCTTACTCGCAGGGAGGTGCGTAAAAGCTATGATACGGCATGAATTTGTGAATCTATCGAGCCATGGTGCTTAAGAAAGGGATCCTGTAGACTTACTTACCGTACTTGGGTTGCACGACTAACACTGACCGGTAAAGCAAGGCTTAATGGAAAACTGGAGAGGGGAAGGGGGTGGCCCAGTGGGTTAAAAGGGGGAGCGGGGGGGGGAGGACCCTTCCTCCCAAGAGAAGTGACTGCAGGGTTATTCCTTCCCGCGCATTATGTACTGGAACTTTTAGGGGAAGACAAGGTAGAGGGTGCGAGAACAGAAGAAAGGGGGAGAGGAGCCGGGAATAAGAGGGAGGTCAGCAGAGAAATTAGAAGGAGGGAAGATACAAAGGCTCACATAGGAAATGCGGCCTGTAATCCTAAACCCCGGTGCGGACCGCTCGCCCGCAGGTTTACACAAAAATAAGTCTCGCCAACCTCGGTGAGTCTCACAACTTAGTAACTCTGCACAGAATCGCAGAGTGAGCTTAACGGACTGACTTCCTGAGAATGCTGGTCAGGATGCTCAGGTGGCGGAGAGAGTTGTAAAAGGAGACTTAGGCGGGCTGCAAAGTTTCTCTCGCACTCTTACTTTGGAAGAAGTTCCGTTGACAACAGTGGGGCTTACTCCTGAGAAAGTACATACAGCAGCAGGCCGCTAGAAGTCACTCGAAACTGGAGGAGGCAAGGTCAGGTGGCAGGCTGCGGTCTTCGCACTCGCACTTGGTCACAGAAATCCAAAGAGTTTACTCGGACTAACCCTAAACTAACTTACCCGTAACTTGCTTCTGATTAGACACGGTTAGCTAGGATTGCGGTGTTGCTTCCTATTCCCTTACTTAACATCAACTACGGGGTGCGCTAGAGATGCAAGGTGGCAGTTCACTAGAAGGAGGAAGAGGGGTGTGTTTTTTTTAGAGTTTTGGGTCGAGCTGAAGAACTCCGCTGAATTCAACTCTCTCAAAGTGGCCCCTTCGACTTTCGCTGGGCGGAATCGCGACTTGTGATGTGTTCCGAAGGCCCCCGCTGGGCTGAAGCTAAGCAGGACCGAGAAAGGGCGAACGTCTGGATAGGAGACCGCATGGGAAGCACGTGTACGCCGCCCTGGGTTCCGCGATGGAGGAAATAGGAGATATTGTAAACAGAGTAATAAACATGAATTGATACGCGGGTGCTGGGCGGTCGCAAAGGAACACTGGCGCATAGCTCGAAGTGGGCCAAGAGAACAGGACCCTAAGTTATGGGTTCAAGCTGAACTGCTGGTTTGCGGTTCCTGAGGGTGCCTTGCCCGAAAACCAACGGGGGGAGGCATTTGAGGAACTTTCACTTCCTTCCAAGTGTTAATTAGAAGCCGAGGCTGGGGAAGAGAAGTAGAACTGTGAAGAGATGGAGAGAATAAATCCAAAAGAGGGAGGGGTGTGGGTGTTTAATGTTGCATGAAAGAGAAAAGTCTCTCAATCATTTTCTTTTTAGGATTATTTTTTTTTTAAAAAAGGTGTGTGGGGCAGTCAAACCTTGAAAGAGGCTTTTCAAAGTGCCAGGAGGCGCCGGGATCATGTGAGCAACCACCAGTGGAAAAACTTAGCGCGCCTCTCTCGCCCTTTTGATATTCTTCGCACCTCGACGCAAGGGGATGCGAGGCGGAGGGCGCGCGGGGGGCAGCCGCCTCCCCCCCAGGCCCCCAAAACAGAAGAGGCGCTTTGTGGGTCCGCCTTTGTGCTTGGGGGCCAGGCCGGTCCCATCACCACCTACTGCTTTCGCAGATCAAGACGGGGGAACTTTTCTGTTTCCAAAAAGCTGCACGCGTTTCCAAAAGGCCAAGAAGGGAGCATCACTGCTGTGTCTGAAGTCCCCAGATGGGCGGGTTTGGTTGGGATCCCAGCACCTACCTGGGCAGAGCGCTCGGCGCAATATAGGCAGCCACCCAAATCCTAAGGATGAACAGCGAAACAGCGAATTTGCCCTAATCTGGTTTCATTTCAATTCACGTGGGGAGATTGATCCTTCAAAACTTAATGAAAGCGTTTCTTTTTTTCTCATCCGCTAACAAGACCACGTAAGATATTCTGGCCATTTAAATGCCCGCTTCGGAGGAATAAGTAGTTTTAAGTTTGCAACCCTATGTACACTTACCTTAGAGTAACTCCACTTACATTCAATTGAACTTGCTTCTGGGTAGACATATAAAGGGTTGCTCTGAAAAAGTCGAGATCGCTAGAAATTTTCTAGTTCTTGTTTACATTTTAATTCTGATATTCCTCCCCAATTAAAAAGGCAGTCCTTTGCTAACCTGCATTCCTGTTTCTCTTCCCGCGTTTTAATTTACCCGGTTCTTCTGGACAGCTTTTTTCCTCAAAATTTCCTAAACTGCACATCTACAACACATCCTAATTTTGACTATTCCTTTCCTTTCATTCGAATTGTTTTCTTACCAACAAAGTTTGCGCCTAGCGCCTTCCACGATTTTCACTAAACTTATTTCTCCTAGTTTAGTTTATACATTATCACGAGGGAGCCTCGTGCATTTTTAAAAACCCACATTTTAATTGCCATAAAGTCTGAGATTCTTTTTCCAATCTTGTTTTAATAAATCGACACACAAATTATTAAGATGTATACGGAGCAACATTTCTTCCCCATCGAGTGATAAGATCTAAAACAAATCCCTAGCTGTTGAAGAGACTTGTGTGATTCGTAAACTTGCCTACTCCTGCACCCAAAAGACGCAAAGTCTAAGAAGAGACTTAATTTTACCTGCGGTGTCCCCCCCAACACCCCGATTCCAACCCGGCTAGCCTTGCCTTGCAGCGAGATCTATAAGAAAACGGCCCAAATGCGCACTTTGCATGCGTGCGAGGGAACGCCGGCTGCTGCCTGACGCTCTGCCCTCGGATGCCTGCATTATTGAGCCCTGTCGGGCGTGTTGTGTCAATCAATGCACGGAAGAAGCATCAGGTGGGAGATGCACCAGGAACCAAACTCATGTCCATGCAGGCGACCGGGGAGCATCTTTTGCAGCGCCGGAGGCGTAGAGCGCACGACAAATATTTCCAAACTTAGGGAGAACAAAACTCGCCCGCGGGATACATTTGGAATTTTTGCAACCCCGGGGTGACGATTCTTTTAGTTATATCAAAGTGCGGAAATCAGGATTAAACAGATCAAGAGGTACATAGACGTATCCCGGCACTGCGCTGCCCTCAGGGTAGAATTCAACACGCCGGTCTGGCTGAGCCCTACTCTAAACACTGCGCAATGGGAATAAGTCCCATATTGCCGTTATTCGGCCTCATCTTGTGTCAAACTTAAGGAGGGGGGAAAAGTCATCCCAGCGAAGTGACTGCGAGCTGCTAAGGAATCGGATGCCGGTCTCCGAAGGCGGCTTTTTGATCTGAACGGGACTTTCCCCTACTGGAAGCTGAAGGAATCCCGGCAGGGCTTTGGAGAACTAAAAACCCCAGTGCCTCTACCAAGCGATTTCATGCCGATCATCCAGCCACAGTCTTAGTGCTGGGCTGCTGAATCGAATGAAGAGGAGACGAGCAAGATTCGGACTTGCTACCACGTGCGGCCCAAATCCTATGCACACAGTTAGGAGCGCCTATGCCGCTTGAAACTTGTGCAGGACCCTCAACTTTTCTGAGATCAAGGTTAGGAAGGGAGAGATGTTCTGTTCTCGGAAGGCTTTCTACAAATGGTGCAGAATCTCTCTCTTCCCTGACACTGCTGACTCACACAGGAGAGCTGAGGGAGGCACACTTACCACCCTCAACATGCTGCCTCACAGGCAAGTCTCCCCAAAACCGAAGGCCTCCCAAGTCCAGGTGTGTAACATCTCCGGTGCCCCGTCTAGAAGCACATGGCTGATCTAAAACCACGTTCATTCTATGAAAGCACAAGAAGGCGTGAGGCTACGATCCTAACCGCTCCCTCGTTACTTGAGAGTAAATCCCGCTGAAGCTGGCAGGGCTAACTGGGCAAGGATGCTTTGCTTGGAAGAAAGGCTGCAGTCCTAAACAGTTTTATTAGGGGCAGCAATTTTCCACTGAGCTCAGGTTAACATGTCGGAGTAAACGTAAGTAGGACTGGGCGCAACTCAACGGGGTTCAGCTGCCAGTAAAGTTTTGTGGAAAACTTACCCCACTGGTAAAGTCTACTCTCTCTTTTTATTTCTCTTTTTTACAGGCTGAGGAAAATAACTCGAAGAAGGAGGAGTAATAAGGAAAAGTAACTTTTTAATTAATTAAAAGAGAATGATTTTCATGGACAAATTTAGGAATAAAATCGCACGATTGGCAAAAAAAAAAGTTACGTCAGGCAAAAAGCGAGCACATGGTTCTCTTACAGGCCGACCCAGAAGTTGTTCTGAATTCCCAGACAGTGCAAAACTCCCTCCCCAAGGCGATTTGCATCTGTGGGAGCAGAAGGACCCCAACCCCATATAACTCACCGGACACGCATCCCTCTGCATCCACACAGTCTAAGACAACAAAATCTAACCATCCCTCCAGTCGGCTATTGACAGGATGCGAGGTATTGTCCCTTGAGCGGAAGTGGCACTTTTGAGTTCATCTACAACGTTTGAGAGGAATCGACCACAACAAAAGCCTGAAATTCCACCAGCCAATAACACCCCGCTACACTTCCTCCCCCAGGGAAAACAAAACAAAACAGAAACCTGGCAAGCCAGCTGGAGTCCTCCTCCCCCCCCCCCAAACGCCCAAAGACAGCTCGAAAGAAAAGTTGCACGTGGAATCTTTACTTCTTCTTCCCTTGCCTGGGACAGTTGGTTGGGAAGACCCCTCTCGCGCTCCACGTGCAGCGCAAAGGCAAAGCGGGGGGAGATGGAGAGAGGCTGGGATTTGCATGCTGCCGGTGCTGCCGCTACGGAGAGCAGGCTGGGGGTACTTACAGTGCGAGAGGGCAGGCTGCCTGAGGAAGGCTGTGATTCACCGAGGCTGCAGAGAGAGCAAGGAGAGAGAGAGAGAGAGAGAGAGAGAGAGAGAGAGAAGGAAGGGGGAGTGCCAAACTGGATACACCTTCGCTGCAGCTCATCACATCTGCCAGCCTCTCTCCCCTCTCTCTTTCATTTCCACATTCCCTTTGTTCCTGGAGGGGGGGGAGGAGGAAAAAAATATACACGTCACATCAGAGTCCCCAGATGCAGTCTTCTACACCAAAAAAGAGGGGGGATATGAATAATTCAATCAAACAGTAGATGGTCTCTGAGGCAATAAAATGTATTGCACTTAAAGCAACCGAGAATAATTATTACCGCGAAGGTATTCGAAGAAGGTAAATGATGGTGGTGACTGTGATCATGGTGGGCTGCTCCCGGGCTCTGCAAACTTCCAGGGGTCAAGACAACACCACTCGTAATTATTGTGTGTGTGTGTGTGTGTGTGTGTGTGTGTTTTAATCATAGGGTAACTCTCCCCCTCCCATCACCTCTCCAAAAGTGGGAGGATCAAAAGCTGGGAAAGGGCCACCAAAAGTGCAGGAAGTGCGCGTGGGACCTCACGAGCTCTTCCAAAACGCAAAGGCAAAGAATTGAAGAATTGAAGAAGAAGAAGAAGAAGAAGAAGAAGAAGAAGAAGAAGAAGAGCAAAGGAGCCGGCGGAGATTTTTGTGTTTAAGACGTGTTTTCGGCAGCTCCCCTCCGGGGCGCCGTGTCCCACCCACCCTCCGCCCGCCTGCCTGCCTCCCTCCGCCTCGCTCTCGCTCCCTGCTCTGCTCTCGCGCCTTCTGCTCCAAGCCCTGCGCAGCCGGGATCGTCCTTGGCATCCTTACCTGCTTCCTGGGTCTCAAAAAGAGAGCCTTACAGGGGAAATGTCATCCTGGCAACCGGCTGGTTGCTCCGCGCTCTAGGGGAGGACGCTGACTGGGGCGGTGGAGGGGGGGGTGTCGGAGAGAGGGGGTGGGGGCGGCGAGAAGGAAACGCGAGGGACTGCTGGTCCCCCAGCCTCCAGTGAAAGGTGTGTGGGATGAGGAGGAAGGGTGGGAAGAACCGTTGGTTGACTTGTGGATGGGTTAAGGCTGACTTGGGGAAAGCGGGGCAGATGGAGAGAGAGAGGGGAGGGAGGGGGAGGGGAGGGAGGCGATCGAGGCGTCCTGCAAGTTTGTCACCGCTAGGCAGAGACGGGAAGGACTGATCGAGTGACAGATGCCTCGGATGGCTCCCTCTTCCTCCTCCTCCGCCCCCGAGGTTGCCCTTCGCTCTTGGGAGGTAAGCTGGGCTGGGGGGGGGGGCTCCCTCTTTATTTACGGTCGCGCCTTCAGACATCGGGTGGGCAGTCCGCTCCGCCACGGAGCGCCAGGTGGAGCTGAGCAGGGAGTCTTAAGACGCTCCTTCTGCGGTGTCAATTCCCGCTCCTACAAACTGACACAAAATAAATAATAAGCCTAGTGTACTATAAAAGCAGAAGAATGTGGGCAGGGGCTGGTGGGTTTTACTGAGCGCCCGGTCTTTGGTGAAATCGTGCCGCTCTTCGGCGTGCAAGGAGAGTCAGGAGCTTCTCTGGAGCCGCGCGCTTCCCCCTCTCCCCCCTAACAAGGCAGACGTGACGGATCACAAAACCAAAACATTAGCGGCACCGTTAGCCTAATAAGAGGTAAACTGCAGAAAAGACGCGCGCGCTCCGCCGCCGCCGCTTTGGAGAAGCCTTTGTTTATGTGCCTAAATCGCCACCTCGAGGCCATCCCCCGAATAGCAGCCGCGGCATGTAAGGAAAATATAGAGGGCGGATGGGGGGGCGGGGGGACAGATCCAAAGCCTGCCAATGGAGCGTTAAGGATTACCGCTTTGCAAAGCCATTTTTTAAAAAAAGGTCCTGATAAGAACATAGCGAAAGTAATGGAAGGACTGGGAAGAGAAGTTGAATACCTTTCTAATGAGAATGGCAGAAGGCAGTTAAGAACAGAAGGGCATCAGATCAGATCACCCAGGAGGATGAGCATCATGAGGGCGCGGAAGCGGCCAATGGGATTCCCTTCTGTGATGGGATCTCTCGGACTCCGAGGGGAGTTGCTTTTTCCTTTCGGGGCTGTACATGCCTGAAGAGCTACACAACGAGGTTTCTTCCTAAGTCTTATTTTATTTCTGCAGCTTTTTAATTCCTGACGGGTTTTTAAATATATATATATATATATATATATACGTTCTAAGCGCTGCTTTAGGATCTGGTATCATTTCCCAACATTCAATTTCTGTACGCTTTATCAACCCTGAAATAAATAAAAGAAAGGGAAATTCTTCTGATAATCCTCTTCTCTCCCTCCTACCCCATCTCCGCCCACTTAAATCCTGATTCTTCAGGCTGCTCCCGGATAATATCAATTAGCTTTGCCCAGCCATGTGATCCGGGAGACCAGAACTGATATTGACGGGATTTGAACGAGCCCGGGTGGGCGGGAGAGATTTCTCTTTCGCCCCTTTGCAAAGGAAAATGAAAGCTACAACTCATTCAAGAGCCCAGTGCAAACTAGGAAGACGCGCTCAGGTCACACAGCTGAGGAGGAATCGGGGCTCTTTCCTGAGTTTTCGCGCAAAGTTCCTTTTGTTGCTCTTCGACACATTTCAACAAATTGTGGAAGCGAGAAGGGAAAAGAAAAATTAGTCTCGGGGAAGTAAAATGCTTAAAAGGGTGTCGACGCTTTTTGCAGCCCGATCCTGTGAATGTTTATCCTGAAGTAAGACCCCCTGTGTGGTTCAACGGTACTTCACCCCAAAGAAAACAAGCATGGCCTCGGAACCGTTCATACCGCGGAATTATGTATGTTTTTACTCGGAAGTACCAAGGAGTTCAATGGGACTTACTCCTTGGTAACTATGCAAATAGAAGCCTTACTCTCAGAACCCTTAACTTAGAAAGTCTATGGGTGGTGCAGGTTGACACTGTGGCCTGACAGATTCCTCATATAATGCTATCATGTAAGATCTGTTAGTATGAAAGGCAAATGTTAGCGTCAAATACCAGGGGGAGTTTATGTTGAGCAGAAATACTTAGAGAGGAATGTCCAGGGGTTGTGTCTGCAGTACAGGAGGTTGTTTCTGAATAAGTTGACCCCCCCCCACCTGTAGACAAAGCCTCTTATCACCTGCCTGACAGAACATTCTCATTTGGAGACAATTCACTTTTCTTCTGCAGGTTGCCCTTAACAGACAACCTATTTACTTGGAGATTAGTCAAGTATCTTCTTTTTTAAATAGTTGTTCCCATTTCTCTGCTATCTGAGCAAAAAGTGGTACATCAGGTTGGTGGGTACCTCAATGCTAAGGAAACGAAAAATCGCTAACAGTTAAAAGAAAAGTGAGAGTTGGGATAGCTAACATGGTGAACAAGGAAGGTGCTGTTTCAGAAAATACAAAACAAAATTTGTGCTCTTTTATCCAGCCATCACTAGCTAGATCTTTCTGGATACGTCTCTGGAAGAAAAACTGACCTCACTATTTTGAAAACTTTCTTTTGAACATGTCTTTTAAAAAATAAAATAGTAGTACAAGTCCTTGACAGCTCTCAAATATGAAACTTGAGAACTCCTATCCACTGCCTACTCAGAAGTAAGTCCAGCTGAGTTCCAGGGGGCTTACAGGTATGTTGCCTCAGATTTTCATATTCTCTAATCATCTCTAGTTGTGCAGCCACCAGTGCATGTACCCAGAGCTTCTAAAGAAGTTTTGTGTCTCTCTGCCAAAATAGGATAATGTTGTACCTGCAAAGAAAGTCCTTCTGAGTACACAAGCATAGGATTGGGCTGCAAAGTAGAAGTTAAGGAAGCTCTGCAGTAGGGCAGCAAAGGCCCTGAGCAACCATAATTCCTTACTGAAGCCAAGCCAGCTAATTGATGATTACTCTAGTGTACATAGTAATGTCCCTGATTTCTGAGTCTTTCCTTATATTAAAAAAAGTGCCTGTGCAGAGGAAAAAACATTTCTCCCAAAGCAGATGTGAAAATCTTAAGTGCTTATCGCCTCCAGGAATACTGAATCACAGGCTGCTGTCTGCAAGCCTGGGAAATCAATGACACAATTTCCATTGATTGGTGTAGATCTGGACTGCTGGCAAAGGGCATTCCTTATTTGTTTATGGGGTCAGCCAAGTTTAGCTTGTTATGGCCTGTGGTCACACAAATAAAATTATTACTTTGCCCCAGTTCAGTAGTCAAATTGTGAAGTCTCTAAGACTCCTAAATCAATTGATACTGTACCTGTGTAGAGGCAATGTTTGTTTCATTCCTTAAGCTATAGCTGCATCTACATATAGATGATTCATATAAAGCACTAGTGATGTCAAGAGCAGGATAAAGCTAAATTAAGCTAACTGCCTTTCATTCCACACACATCTATGGGGCAAATCAGTGTGCAAGGGCTTAAAACACAACCTGCTGGAAAGTTTGTCTGCACAAGCCCCATTTAAACAAATAAAAGGAGCACAAGAACATCTGTGCTCTAGCCAAATTCCCATGCTTTCAAGAGTAGTCTAAGTCACTTGCGTGTGGATGCCTGAATGGGAAAACATTATCAGAAGTGATTGATTTATATAAACCTTCTATATGCTGGTTGTATGTGCATATATTATACTTGCATATTGATCCCACTTTGCCCACATTCAATAATAATGCTTATAATTATAATTACAAATTTATTTATTAATATTTTTATTATTATTACCTTAAAAGAAAAATGTACTATATAACATAGTACTTAATAGCTAGCAGTTATATTCTTAGAACCAATGTTTTCCCCATTACAAGCTGGTAAATGCTTGGATGAAGCTTCAAGTAGATGTCTCTAGAAGCAAGATATCAAATCAATAAGATTGTTTGAAAGCTGCATAGAGAAGTAAAAAAAGGCAAGTAAGAGGGTTTATGGAGTCAGAGAATAATAGTAACAGTGGCATGCTTTAGTGTAAAAGATTAAACATTGTAATTAGGAATATCACCCAGTCAAGATAGCAGCTAAAATTAGTAAAATGCTTAGCTAACATCTGTTCTAAAATGTAAATTAAGTAGATTTTGGTCAAAAGAAGGGCTCTCATTCTCCTCTCTATTTAATAATGCTTTATTGTATTAGAAGGGGTGCTAAATGAATTCAGTTTTCAGCTTAAATGTGATAATTCTTTTAACTTTTATTTATGCTTAACTTTTTGAAAGTTGTGGAAGTACAAACAGCAAATGGACTTGCTGCGAGAAAGGTTTGAAGGAATTGGCCAATGGTGTTGATTTCTTTATCTGAATAATTAGCAAATGAACCTAAGAATTATCCATTAACATTTAAAAGTGCTCATTAGCACATTAGAAATGAAGACTATATTTTATTGCAACAGCAAAACATTCTTAAATAGAATCTTCAAATATTATCAGGGTTTAATTACAGATTAACTTGAATGAAGTCATTTTACAGGTAGCGTCTTCCAGTGTTTCTATCAACAGCTTTTGAAAGACAGGGGCATTTTTATTTGCACAGTAAACACACAGCCTTTACAACAAGGGACTTTACATCCTAATACGATATGAAATGTTAAGGCTTCTTAGATTTATGATACCATGGAAATTAATACACAAATGCATTAAGCAGCGTTATGTAATTTTACCCTATGGACTACATTGACAATAATCAGTTCCCTTGAAAGCATTACATCAGGAGGTAGTAATGGGATTCTAGCTCCAGTATTACAGCCTTTGCCAACCTGGTGCCCTCCAGATGTTTTAGACTACAGCTCTTGAGCCTCAGGCAGCCTTGGCACAGAGTTGCGTCCAAAATCCCTGGAGGGCACCAGACTGGCAATGACTGCTGTAAGCAAATCACAGCAATATTATGTTTTACAATACTGTTGTTTGTGTACTTTCTTTCTTTCCTTCTTCATTAAAGTTTTTTTTGTAATAAAAAGTCAACGTTTACATAAAAGCAGTAATTCCAAGGCAGAGGAAAAAAAAACACAAAAATATAATCTGCCTGTTGTCATTGCCTTTTAAGGTTCTAACTCTGAGGCACCTCTTTCTGTTAAGATGCAGCTGGGTGGATTTATATTTTAAAGAGTCTGAAATTAAAATAAATACACTGAGTAAATGTTTAATTGACTGACTGTAAGTGAAGAAAATGATTTAAAGCTGAGCAAACCATATATTTGTTAAACTGTGAGATATCCCCCCCACCCCCCAATATGAGTAGTGGAGCAAAAGGAGAAGATTTAAATGTGGCAAATCTAGAGTAAGGGTAATAGTTTTTTAAAGGTAGAACATATTTTGTGAACAGATTGCCTTTCCACCCACTTCTATAATACAGCTACTGTGTATTGTGAACAGTACCTGAAGCAAATCTGTGCCAGGCAGACTGCACCAGCATTGATTCTGAGGATAGGGTTGAAGGGGGAAAGCAAATGGGATTTTAAAATTTTTAAATGGAAAAAATATTTAAAAACAAAACACTATGATGCTGTAAGAAGATTGTTTTTATTGTGCTTCTTGCTAGATAAATAACTAAAGAAGCATTGTTGCAATTTTTAATCCCCGCTTTTTCGTAAAATGTCTGTTTCATTTATGAGCTTCCTACAGCTAGCTATCATTCACCAGCTCCTGGGAAGAGTCATTTATAGAGAATTTTGAAAGTCTTCATATTTTTATTAGCACTTCATTGAAGTTTTCCTCAAAAAGATAGAAGCAACCCTCAAAAGCATTTGGGGGGCAAGCATCAAAATATAAAAGAAACTGCATTTTATAGCTCCCAGGAAATATGTAAAATTCTGCGTTCACTGTGACTCATTCATAGCACTGCAAAATGGGTTGTTATGTTTAGAAATCTAAAATGTTAAATTGTCCATTAATAAATGTGAGCCAACATTTATTTATTTTACAAAGGTGGGGGGGGGGACAGTCTGAAGGACCTGCTCTAGAAAAGGGAGAGTGGTGAGAATCTACCGCTTTTCTTACAGGATTAAGAAGCGCTGCAAAAGAAGCATTTAAGCCTCTAATTTTTCCTGACAATTAACAATGAAAAGCAGATGTTTACAAAGCTGTTTTATATGCTGGTTTATAAGATGCTAAAAGATGGTTTGTGGATGTTGAAAAGGAAGAGCCGGATAACTGCTTGTCTGGTGTATTTTTAAAAGCATTTTCATTGGCTCAGTTATTGTTAATAATGAAAGAAACACTATGTGCTACATGGCTGAGACTAAACTGCCATCATAAAGTCCTCAAAAACACACACACACACATATGCACACACAACCAAGCAACTCTTAAGATGTAATTTACAAAGATAATAATAACACAGAATGATTTCACTTCTCTGAATGCTCCACATTTGCATACCAGGATTGTGTACAATGCACTCATAAATGCACATTCATAATGACAAGGACTTCTTAGCAAGGCAAACTGCAGGCTGAGCTCTGCATGTTAAAAACAATATGAGAGTGTCATGTTTCTCTTTCTGACATGGACAGGGGGAGCGTTGTGGGGGTAGGAACAGCTTGTGCCTGGATCCCAGGTGCTGGCTGCTTACACAAATGAAGCTTACATTCAGATCCACACCTTTGCTGTGCACGATCATCTAAATGATAATATTGCCTTATATAGGGCAGACCAAAGCAATTATGCTGGCAGTTATTTTACTCAGTGTCATTTGCAGAGAGTGCGGGTGGAGGCAGAATGGAAAATCAATGTTCACCTTAACTGTTGTTTTCAAATAATTGTTGTTGTCAGATCTGTAGTACTTTTCATAGTAAGAAGTGTCTTCAAATTTACTGAGCCTCAGTGAGGCCACTTGAAGCCATCAGATTCCTACATATGTGGGAATCGACACAAAACCTACACACAGACTATGAGGTGGGTTTATAACCCTGAGTACAACATAGGGCAAATATCCCATTATGATCTAAAATACTCCACATGAATTTCCACATGTTAAGAAGCAATTTCTCAATGTGCACAGGAGCTTTGAGGCTCATGACTGATAAGAGATTTTGAGCTGCGTCTCCTGTCTATCTGCCCATTCATCTACACTTCATCCTTTTTCAACAGGTCTTACCTAGGAAGCTGCCCTATACTGCAACAGATCACTGAACTATCTAGTTCAGTACTGTCTACACTGGCTGGCAGCAGCTTTCTGGAGTTTCAATCAGGAGTCCTATCTAGACATGCCAAGGACTGAACCTGGGACTTTCAGCATACAAAGCATGTACTCTACCACTGAGTTACGGTCCTGCCCCTAAAGTGGCATGACTGGGTTTCAGGATGTATGAAATGGTCTCTGTCGGGAGGTTGTGGACTCTCCTCCCTTGGAGGTTTTTAAGCAGAGGTCAAATGGCCATCTATCATGGATGTTTCAGCTGAGATTCCTGCATTACAGGGGGTTGGACTACATGATCCTTGGGATCCCTTCCAACTGTACCATTCTATGATTCTATGATTCTGTAAGTATGCTTTCTACTTTCTCAACCCCCGCCCCACCCACATGCATTCTGCCATGTGAGCAGATGCAACCCACATCTGAATACATTTATGACAAACATATACGTGTAAATTTGGAATTGCTTAAAGAAGTGAAGGTCCAAAGGGGTAGAAATATTTTGAGGCTGGATGTTTCATATTATTAGCTCAATGCAGATATGCCTTATTAATACACAGCACTGTATAATGTTCATACACTATTTGTATATCGGATAAACATGTGAACCAGCCTCATATTATTTCCACACACAAAAGCTGAGGATGGAGAGAAAAAGCCTTCCTCCCTGGCTCCCCAGTGCCCATTACCTGGCCCTGGCCCTGCTTCTACTTCACCCACAGAGAGAAATAGAGAATAAACTTGCCTTCAAAGATGCTCCTTTCAGTCACTATCAGAACTCCCCAAATATGTAGGTCGCTGTTCCCATATACAGATGGAGAAGGATAGCTGAGACAATGACTGGAATTAGAGCCCACAATGAAACCACAACAGAGCTAGAGCTGGGGCAGGGGCAGGCACAAAAGAGTCTGTGGCAGAAAAATCCCTAAACCACATAGGGACACAGGAGCTCAGGCAAGACAATCTCAGCCCCAGGAAGCCCGGGTGGAGGTACTTGCAAGGAACAACTTTCCTTGATTTCTACCTCCCATCTCAATAATATAGCACCTAGAAGTATACTCGTAGAGAATCACAGCTCAGCTGGGTCTACACATTTCCCTCCACCATGTTTTGGGAACAGCAGAAAAAACTTAACCTTGCAATCCGAATGGATATTGCCTTTTGCAATCTTATTGTTCCTGTACGCAATAAAATATGGGTAGCCCAGTAGTGTAAGGAGTAATTTTGGCTCCTTTGAAGTCTATGAATGAGCAAAGGAGACAGAAGCAGAGTCAGGAAACAAACATGGGTGCTTTTGGGCAGCTGCAGAGGGGGCTGGAGCTGCTAATTGGGAAAAACAAAGATGTAGGGAAATGGCAGCCTGTCTGGAATCCAGTAGTTGAACGGACTGCTCCATGTCACTCCATGGTAAGCCCACTTTCCTGGGGTAAAATCCCCAAAAAAGGTCAACAACTTCAATTCTAAAAAAAAAAAGTCAACAACAACTTTGGTCGGCCCTCACCCCTGTTCACTTCATCAAATCTGGCCCTCTTTGATCGGCACCCCTGCTGTACAACATGAATGGGGGAAATCCCATTTTATCCTCACAACAAACTTATGAGGTAAGCTGGGCTGAGTTAGTGACTTGCTAAGGACTACCCATTGTGCAAAAGGCTTAACTCACCCTCAGTCTTTAGCTACTATATCACAACTGATTCTCATTCAATCTGATAAACTACTGTATTTTTCGCTCTATAACACACACCCGACCATAACACGCACGTAGTTTTTAGAGGAGGAAAACAAGAAAAAAAATATTCTAAACGAAACAGTGGATGTATGATTTTTGTGGTTCATGCTGTGGCCACAGACATGTGATCTGACAGTGAGTTTGTAGTGGCCCAATGCAAAAATCCTGAGGATCCATGTGGATCCATGCTTTGTAACCACGTTTTGGCACCACTGCAGCCCCAGGCAACAGTGGGTGCGTGATTTTTTTGGTGCAAGATGTAGCCATGGACATGCTATGTGATCTGATGGTGAATTTGGGGTGACCCAGTGCAAAAATCCTGAGGATCCATGTGGATCTGTGCTTTGTAACCACGTTGTAAGTGGGGAGGGAAGGAAAAGCACTCAAGGGACAAGGAGCACGCGTGGGGTGGGTGGAGAAGGATGCTGCTAATAATGAAGAAGAGGGGTATAAGGGGAGAAGGCTCCTCTCCTTTCCTGCTTTGCTCCTTTAAAGAAAGCAGGCTCTGCTTTTCTCCCTCCTCCCCGCTCATCCCCGGCTTAGCGAGCTGAAAAACTTCGCTGCTATTTAGCGAGCTGAGTGGGGAGGAGAGAGGGACAGAGAGCCTGCTTGCTTTAAAGGAACCAACCGGACAGGAGCCGCTTATACTCGTGTAGCGGCTCCTCTCCTCTCCCGCTTTGCTACTTTAAAGAAGCAGGCTCTCTGTCCCTCTCTCCTCCCCACTCAGTGGCTCTTCTCCCGCTTTGCTGTTTCAAAGCGAGCCACGGAGGAGGGAAGGGGAACCATGGATCTTCTGCTCACGACTGCAGCAGATCCCCCCCGCCACCCGTAGGCATTCCCTCCATAACACACACAGACATTTCCCCTTACTTTCTAGGAGGAAAAAAGTGAGTGCTTTGGTGCAAAAAATACGGTACACTGAATGCCTGGTTTTTGGAGTTCTGGAAGTAGCAATTTCATTGATAGGTCTGTGTACCTCAGCTGAATGGGTAAAGTTATTGGGCCTAGACTAAGAAGCAAAAGTGCAACAAGGTATTTGTATACCTGGAACTTAATAGTCTTATGGGCTCACCCATTTAGACAGCCGTGTTTATTACTTCACTATCAAACAACTAATATTTCTCTTCTTCCCCACCCTTCCATGCTTTATTATTAATAAAATAGCCACATACTGCTTATATATTCATGTTATGTGAGTCAAAAACCAAACAAAAACATTATGCCAACCCTGATTTTTTAAAAATCAGCACCAAAAACAATACCTTGAAGGTGCCTGCTTAACATGATTGACAGATATCTTGGCAACCAAGTTGATGAGAAGTTATGACAAACAAGGTCCAAATAAATACATCCTTGGAAAACAGTGGTGTCACCAAGCATTGGATCAAGCATTGGAATAATGTTTTCCCTTGCCCCAGTGCAGGGACCTCAGTCCAGCACAGCTGCAATAGCAGGACTACCCTCTAGCTGTGCATAGCAGAATTTGCCAAATGAGAAGTACCAGGGAACCCACCCCACCCCCAATTCCCTGCAAGGCATCCTATTGCTTTTTTTGATATGTGAATATTAGAACCTTGTATGCTAGCCATAGAGTCAGAAGAAGCTCCTTGACTTCATTGCAGGTAAAACATATCTACAGGATTATGGATTGTAAGATTAAAAAGAAAGCCTACCAGATATAAACAGAAGCTTTCATGTTATGGATTATTTAATTTATACAATTATGGGCCTGTTCAGCATTCTTCAGTGAGAGAATGCAGGATCACTTCTCTGGAAAAAAAATGTCTAAACCAGGGTGCCAATATTATTAATATTATATGACTTGAGCAGAGGTATTTGATATAGTTAGACGTGGCCACATGAGGTTCATTAAAAAGAAAACAAGAAAACAGATGATTAATTGTACTAAATACCCCATTTTTGTGTGAGAAACTACATCACTGCTTAAAATCCACTGACTTGTAGTGCAACTTCATCAGAGTCTTTGACCTGAGTCTACATAACATGAAGAATCAAAATCAAGGTATTAGTTTGATATAAATAGAAGCAACAGGGGACGTAAAAACCTGGTGGAAGAAAACTGCCTAAAACCTGCCATCTGCCTAAGAAAGACAATACAGGAGAAGCCAGTCTCGTGTCCTTAGGGAGGAGTTTCCACAATCAGGACACTGCTACTGAAAAGGCCCTGTCCTATATCCCCTCTAACTGCACCTGCCTTGGTGGACAGGGCCTCAGAAGATGATTGCAATCAAGAAACAGAAAAAGGTGGCTCCTCAAATACCCTGGTCCCAAACCAGAAGATTATCCAATTTTATCTGTGAGGTGGGCTAGTCTGGGATATAGAGAGTGGGCCAACCAGTGAAATTTATGGCCAGACAGAGGTTTGAAGCTGCATCATCCCAATCTAAGTCTCCATTCAATTCACTACACCACAATGACTTAGTTAAAACAGTATACTTTCACTTCTTTAAATCTTGCTGGGAATTTATGAGGTGAATTGTTGTTGTTGGTTTTAAAAAAGTAGCAATGCTATTTATTTCAAGATCTGTCCAGTTTATGGGCTGATCCTCTTGCATTGTAGTGCATGAGGGAAAGGAGCAAGCAGAGTCAGAAGAGGAATCCATGCCACCCCAAAGGCAAGGGATGTTGTCTCTCTCTGGCAACAGGGTCCAGTTGGGCACACTTCCCATTGCTGTTGCTGCAGCATAAAAAAAACCCCAGGCAGGGAGAGATTCTGTGGAATGTACCTTGGAATATAAAGAAGTTTCAGATAATTAAGATGCAAATAATTGTTTTTCTACATTACTCAATTTAATGACTTGGGCATAGCAAGCAAAACAGATCCAGCCTTGCCAATTTTCACTTTATAGCCTCATCCTTAAAGAGCCTTTTCTGGTCTAGCCTTGAGGCTGTTTATTTGTTTCTTTCTTAGAAATATATCCCATCTATAGCCCACTTACACTTTTTTTCCAAGGAGAGGATCTAACACTTTTCAAAAGCCTTTTCATGGAGATTTTGAGTTTTTCTTCTTTCCTTGGTCAAAATTAATAGATGTGCATCATTTTGATTTGAAGAGAGGTTTGATTTTTGCAAACACTATTTAAGAGATTCTGCTGTTGATATTTTCACATTAATATACATTATTTATCTCTGCGGGGTGGTGAAAATGAGGGAGTTGCATGGGCCTAGGTGGCAGGAAGTGGGATTCTCTGTAATCATCAGCAGCAGGGGACTCCTTTGAGGCTGCATTGTGAGTTTCAGTTAAGATTCCAGCAGAAACAAAATAATTGTGTGTTGAGTAGTGTGCGGCTGGGAACTAATACATGAGTAATCTCTTTCAGTTTTTAATTTCCAGTTCAAAATGTCGCAAGAGCTCAGTAGGGGCAGGGATCAGTTTCCTCTGAGATCTGAGCCCCTACAGGTGTTTTCAATGCTAGGATTTAACTCTGGAACACCTAATATAGGAAAATAAAAAAAATTCCCTGAGCAGGAGTAGAGTGCGTTTTTCTAACCATCAAGCAGCCACTTCTTACACATTAGGGAGAAGGGCTTCCTCATCAGAGGGTGTGTTTCCAAGCAGATACGCACCCCAGTGGTATCTCCTCTTCTTGAAACAAGTATTGAGTGTAGGGCTTCTCTGTTATTCACATTTCACTTCACTTAAGCCTAGGTCACCTATTCTTAGCAAAGCAATATATGGCCCTGTTTGCTAAAATTCATTTTGAGGAATTAACTAGATTTTCAAGCACCAGTGCTAGACAAAGTAAACAGTTCTATATGTAGTCACTGGAATATTACCAAACTGCAGTTAAATATCTGGCACCATTTCATTTTAGGTTTTATATGGAAACCTCAAAAATAATGTTTTTTTCCTGATGTTTTCATTGCTGCGTGAAAGTTCTTTTTGGGGAGCCAGACTCTGCAAGCCTTAAATTCCCTATTAAAGTACTAGAAGAAAGAAAAATGTGTGATGGAGTAAAATGCAGTGAACAGGCAGGGATACCATTTCAGACTTCAATGAGAGGAAGAAAGATCCAGAAAATTCCAAAACCTATTGGATTCACTTAAGGTGAAACTATAGGGGGAAACTAATGTTTTATTAAGTTATTTTGTTTGTTTGTTCTACTTATATCCTACCCTTCCATCCAAGGTTCCCAGGGCAAAAAAAAAAAAGTCAATTAAAATGCAACACACTGGCACAATTCAAAATCATAAAATCATGATAACCAAATCAACCTTATTCACATAGGACAAATAGTCAATCTTTTCCCCTCAAAAGGACATTTCATTTATAACCAGGGCCCTTCAGCATGGAAAGTTGCAATTTAGCAAGAGTTATATGAGCTTCAGAGCAATAATCCTATGTGGTCTGAAACACAGAGTGGGAGTTCCACCTATGTGGTGCACTTGGGTTCGGGAACCATAACATGAACATCAATTTACAGGTTATAAACCTGTCCTCTGAAATGTAGCATAGTGACTAAGGCTGCAATCCTGTGAGCACCTACCTGGGAGGAAATCTCAGTGAAGAAAGTAGGAGTTACTTCAGAGAAAAGGTGCAAGAAACGGAGATACAAATCAAGAAATGACAATTTTTTATCTTACCTTTGTCATAGGCAAGCCATTCCCTCTTAGTTTCAGAGTCAATCTGTTCATCTATAATATGGGAATAATAATACCTTAAGGTAGATGTAAGGATAACAATACACAACAATATATTTGAACAACTGTAAACACTTGAAAGTGCTTTAGGAATGCTACCCATTTTTATTCTTTCCCCAACTTGTGGCTAGACTACAGTTACCTGGTATAAAAAGTCACCCTTAGTATTTCTGAAAGTTGAAAACAACTTTCTTTTTAAAGTTACAGCTTTGTAGTCAAAATATAAAATATAAATAGGTGATTTTACAATAGGTGATTCTAAAGAAGTGTGCATGCACACAAAAGCTCATACCAATAACAAACTTAGTTGGTCTCTAAGGTGCTACTGGAAGGAATTTTTAAAATGATTTTACAGTGCTACTTGTAAAAGGGTCAGGCAGACTAACCCACCTTGGGGACAAGGGGCTGAATCTGCTCTGTGTGTGCTACTGCCACTGAAAGCAAATGGCACCCTAGTGCTGGCAACAAGAGTGAGCAGCAAAATGAAGGAATGGAGACAGTGGTGGTGAAGAGGCAGAGACTTGGTGGCCTAACTGCAGAGGTTGGGTGGGCCTCTTGTAGCACATACCCCATCTAACAAGGATTGTCATTTAAGGGCAAAATGTAAAGTAATAGTACTATTTAGGACAGCATATTCTCCATGGTCTCTCCACAGCCTCTACTCCTCATAAGGTCAAGATGCCAACTTTGGCCAGCCACCAATCCTAAGCCATCAATTGTGTTATACTTGTGTTAGACCCACCCCTGGGTGGAAGTCAGTCAAACGTCCAAGAAAATCTGGACATATGGCAGCCCATGTTGGCAGTGCCGGTTTTTCTGTCCAGATTTTTAGTTTGAAATATGGCAACACTACTATAAACATTTTAAAATTTTTTGCTAGTGTTTAAAATATATAGAATTTGTATCTGTCAATAATTCAGAAAGGAAGAATTTGACACAAAAGGATGCATGCTCAAAGGAGGTGAAAACAGAACTTTATGAAATGGGCTTAATTTGTCAAGATGACTGCAGTAAAAACAAGAATCAGAAGATAATAACATATTCCCATATATACAGTGGTGCCTCGCAAGACGAAATTAATCCGCTCCGCGAGTCTCTTCGTCTAGTGGTTTTTCTGCCTTGCGAAGCAACCCTATTAGCGGCTTAGCAGATTAGTGCTATTAGCGATTTAGCGGCTATTAAAGGCTTAGCGGCTAGGCTAAACGCTATTAGCGGCTTAGCGGCTTAGAAAAAGGGGGGCGAAAAAATCGCAAGACTCGCAAGACATTTTCGTTTTGCGAAGCAAGCCCATAGGGAAATTCGTCTTGCGAAGCGCATCGAAAAACGGAAAACCCTTTCGTCTAGCGGGTTTTTCGTCTTGCGAGGCATTCGTCTTGCGGGGCACCACTGTACCAGAAAAAAGGCATCAGCAGTAGCAAATGAGAAATAAAGGTAAAGGTAAAGGACCCCTGGACGGTTAAGTCCAGTCAAAGGCAACTATGGGGTGTGGCACTCATCTCGCTTCAGGCTGAGGGAGCTGGCGTTTGTCCATAAACAGCTTTCCAGGTCATGTGGCCAGCATGACTAAACCGCTTCTGGCACAATGGAACACTACGACAAATGCCAGAGTGCACAGAAACAGTGTTTACCTTCCTGCCATTTACCTATTTATCTACTTGCACTGGTGTGCTTTTCTGCTAGGTTGGCAGAAGCTAGGACAGAGCACGGATTCAAACCGCTGGCCTTCCGATCAGCAAGCCCAAGAGGCTCAGTGGTTTAGACCACAGTGCCATATTTATATGTGAAATATAATCTACATCTATATTCTATTCCTATGAGTAAGCATAACTGAAATAAATGAGTAGACATGCGTAGGATTGCATTGTTGGGGTGCATGCATCCTGGTTTGTTTGCAGGGGCATTAAATGACGTTGGCTATTTAATGGGCATTATTTCTGATTGTTTACAGGAATATTGGATGACACTGCATTGAAGCAAGTGTTATCACACACTTCCAGCACATTTCTCCATAACTTTTTCTTATCGCAAAATGTCTAATCTTTGGGGAAGTGGGTTTGATGCACAAGACTTCCTAATCAATTATAAATGTGAAACCTGAACTCACAGGTATGTGATTGAAACCTTCCAGAAAATAGTGGAAACTGGAAGCACTCTCAGTTTCTAGACATGCTCTTCTTCCCTTATCTTCTTCCTGTCTGTCTGAGGATGCAACGTTCCTCACTGCTCCCATCCCAGTTAGGCTGAACTATGTATTGCATTTTTTATATGTTTAAAATATTTGTGCTGCACAAAGGACACATGTTGCTATAGAAGGCCATTGCAGGTATGTGAATTCACAATAAAAGATGTTCTTGCAGACATGTTCTTTGCAACCAAGTTGCAAAGAAACTTGTACTTACATTGCAAGAAAATATGGGTTATCCCATATTTGGCCAGAGGCTGGCCAAACCGGCCAAATGTCAGGGTGCAGAAGCGGACAGAAATAGGAGCTACTGAGCCAATTGTACCACCATTTTAACTAGGTTTGCCTGACCAAAAAATGTAAAGCAGTGTGCATTGAACTCACACTGTTTTTGCTTACTTGGCAAAATAAGAACACCCTGTACCTTCTACCACTGGAGCAGAGATGGAAGATGGTGGTAAAGGCGTTATCTCACTTTCTACTGGGCACCCAGGGAATGTTCAGGACACTATGAGACAAGCCTTTGAAAACCACACCTTATAGGTCAATATAAATTAAAAAAATTAAATATAAACCCAATATTAAAATAAATATTTAAGAACAAAGCAATCCAAAATGGGCAAGGGAGAGTGAATCTGTATTGGCAGAGCTGCTGGTGTAATGGAATGGGATGGTTGGCTGAATAAATTTTGCTGCCTGAGGTAGGTAACCTCTCTTCCAAGTATTCAAAGCAACTGGACGGGTAGTTAAGTTTTACTTCAACATGGGTGATGAGACAGCACATTTGAGGGCAACAAGTTAATTTAGGGTGTCCACATCTGGCCAGATAGCACACACATTTCTGTTATCTGACACCATACCAAAATGGCTTTCCAAAATGGCTCAGAGAGGGTTTGGAAGACCATACATCCCTCTCTGAGAATGAGCACCCACCTTCATCCACAGAGCAGGAGATCCTCAAAATTCAATGCACCTAAACGGACCAGAGGATTGTGCCATTAAAAAAGGAAGTAACATTACAATGAAGCAATCTAAACAACATAACAAAGAATAAGAATCTAAAACAATTTTAAAGATTTGAAAATAGCTGGTGTAAAACCTTTAAAAATAGAAGATTAAAAATTACTTAATAAAAGTCTGTTAAAACAGAAAGGTTTTTTAAACATGCCTCACACCAACAATAAAGGATCCTAGCGGACCTCTACAGGAAGGGTTTCTGATAATTCTGGCTGCACCGCTGAAAAGGCCGTGTCTTTTGCACATACTCATAAGTTGGATCACTTCATGGTGAAGGTGAGCCTCATTGGTGATCTTAATTGATCACCAGGCTGTATTTTATACTAACTGCAGTTTTCAAACTATTTTTCAAAGACAACTCATTGCAGTTGCCAACCCTGGAAGTAACCAGAGGAGATTCCAGGCTAGCTATTTATGGAACACTCATGCTGATCTTTGCACAAAACTTGCACAGAAGTTATACAACATCTCCTATTTATTGAGTATTCATTCAGATATGTTTGTGCAGAGGTTATATGACATTGCCAGCTAGTGGTTGCTATCCCACACTGCTATCCAGTGGAATTTTCTATCACTTTTCTCATCAGGCTTTTTGTGGTTAGAAAAGCGACATAAGTGTGGGGTAACAACCAAGTTTTGTGTGAACAATGAGGCAGTCTGGAAGTGTCCTTAGGAATGAACAATTACTGTATTACAGATTTGTCTTCTCTAAGAAAAAATGGAAAACTGCAGAGAATTCAAGGGAAGAAAGAAAACTTATTAAGACTGAAAGCTCATCTTTTTCATGCTTCCCCCCCCCCCATCTTGCTGTTTGTCCCCCAGTGTCTATGTCCATTTTCTGTATCTTCTCCTTTATCTGAGATTTCCAGTTTAGAAACAGGAATCTCACTAACCTGTTCTCTGAACAGAGGAGCAGAATGAACAATTGTCCTTCTTTAACTACTGAGAATTGGAAAAGAAGCAATGCCATTTTAGGTATTGGGATATTGTATGCTTTAAACACAAATGGAATATGATTATGAATTATTAAAAGATAGTATGAGCATTTTGAATTGAGCTTGGAAGTGAACAGAGAATTAATGGAGTTGTTGTTTTTTAAAAATGTTTGCTGCGATCCTGCCTCCTGGTCTCTGTTAACTGTCTTGCAGTTAACTATAGCTTTTGGACTGCCCATTGAACAAAACATTATCTGTTGCAGCATGTATTATATATATACCAGGGGTCAGCAACCTTTTTCAGCCGTGGGCCGGTCCACCATCCCTCAGACCATGTGGGGGGCCGGACTATATTTTGAAGCGGAAAAATGAATGAATTCCTATGCACCACAAGTAACCCAGAGATACATTTTAAATAAAAGTGCACATTCTACTCATGTAAAAACACGCTGATTCCCGGACTGTCCGCGGGCTGGATTGAGAAGGCGATTGGGCCGCATCTGGCCCCCGGGCCTTAGGTTGCCTACCCCTGATATATATACAAACTGTAGTAGTAATAATTCATAAACTTGACATCTACTTAAAAACACATCTTGTTTTTTCTTAGCTAATTACATAGGAAGGGAACCTTGTTAAGTTGTGGGTGAACATATCAGACAACACAGCAATTCTTCAGACAGCTCTTGTTTATTCACAGGCCAGAACAGAACTGAACTGAAGGGTTCAGCCAACTTGCTTATATAGAGCTCAACTACAAAGCAGCAGTAACAACTTTATATAACTATCCAATCACTGAACGTCACTTTCAATTCCTTATTTGCATATGCAGACCTGAGTGAAAACTATCTACAGTATCCCCCTGCTGGCCCAGGGTGAGAACTTCAGTACATAACAAACCTTATTCTTTTTGTGAAAGCAGCACCTAGGAAGGGGAGGTTTGTTTCTTTACTCTCCCACTTAAACTGGAATGGAGATTGCCCCTTGCCATGGCTAGGAACCTTAGTAGAAAAGGTCCCCCGTTGTACCAGTGGAGTCTCCCTCTGTGCCCCCCACCACAAGATTCAAAGCCCCACAGGTAATCTCCAATTTGATCTTAGTGGAGAACCAAAAAAGATACCGTATTTTTTGCACCATAACACTCACTTTTCCTCCTAAAAAGTAAGGGGAAATGTCTGTGCGTGTTATGGAGGGAATGCCTACGGGTGGCATGCCTACGGATTTTCCTCCTCTAAAAACTATGTGCGTGTTATGGTTGGGTGCGTGTTATAGAGTGAAAAATACGGTAATCCTCTCCATCCCTGTGTGCTGCTTTCCCAGTGAGAACTGGGCTCTTGCACTGTTGGTGTGTTTAGAAAAGCAAGATATGTAGCTGCCTGCTACCTGTTAAGTGCTCACCTAGTGTGGCCCTCTTTTCCAGATAGCTGTTACATCAGAAGTAAGGCAAGCGGCCTCCAGGAAGAGAGTGGCAACAGTGCTTCCACCTGGGAGTCTTCTTTGGCACCCACTTTATTATGTGGTACTAAGTGAAGACCTTCCAGTTTTCCCAAGCTATTATATCTTTTCACTTGTAAATCTGCTGAATCTTTCAAAATATTTTAAACTGTTGTTAGTTTATTGGATTAGAAATTGTTTTACGTTGTGCTGTAGTTTTATGTCTGCTGTTTTAGATGTTTTGTATGTATAACATTTTTATTTTTATGTAAGCTGCTCTAGGTATTGAAGGGTGGGGTAAAAATATGGTGAATTAATTAATAAGAATGTTGGACTGTCTCATTTTCCAAAATAACATCAAAGCAGCACGTATGGTAATTACAATGTAGTTTCTTTGATTAAAAACTGCCATGGTTTGGAAACTTCAGAATTTCCCCAACGAAGTCCTCAACAAAGATGGCATTTCAGCTGAAATTAAGTTGAGCAGCACCACATTTAACTTGAAATAAATTAAGCTCATTTTCTCCCATTTTTTCCCATTTAGTTTTTGGGTCTATACATTAAGGTACAGTTAATTTTAGATGCAAAACTTTGTACGCTGTGCAAATCATGCCTAGATGTCAAGGTAAAGTAACAACCCTAATGAGCAACGTTAAAAAAGGCAGGACCCATTAGTTAAAAGACACATGGAAACAGCCAAAGATGACAAACATGCATAAAATTCAAAACATGATGGAAAAGAGAACAGGCAACTGAACCACATAAATCAGTGTTTTGAATTTTATTTCTGTGTGGGTATAATTGTACCTTAGTTTCTTATAATGATTTATTGAGGTAAATATTCTGTATGGTTTAACAGCTACAGCTTCAAAGTGTCAGCCACACAGTCTCCCTTATTCATGAGGCAGCTGAGGACTGGGGTTGTGAATTAGCTTCTGTATTCTGGGACTTGGCAAAGTATGTTTTTTAAGGTTCTTATAAAGGATTCATATTGATGCAGCTATTCAAATGTTAAAAACACTGTGCTGTAATGGATGAAATAGAAAACCTTTACTGTAATTCCTGAGGAAAAAAAGTAAATAAATGGAAATAAACCATGCAGAATTGCCTTCAGCAAAAATAGAGCAGTGCCCTGAAGTTGTTTTTGTATCGTGTGTGTGTGCACGTGCATACGCGCGCGCACACACACACACACACACACACACTCATATGGGAAGACAAAAAAAGCACACTATCATTTCTTGAAGAGAAGAATAAAACAAAATTAAATTAAATCAGGAGAAAAAACTGGAACAAAGATTTTAAACTGTGACATTTGCTGTTGCTGGATGCCAAGCCACACTTTCTAGTGCTCTCTGATCAGAATAAACCAGCCATTAACTAATAAAAGAGTCATAGTCCATGAAAGTTGTGATGGCATTTTAACAGCTCTTCATCTATTATTTTAAAAAATCTAATCTGCAAAATACAGTTCCTTTTCTGTTTATCGTCTTAGGGCAATTATGGCAGAAATTAGATGTGTTCCCATGGTGTGGAAAGCCACCTTGTGGTCCATGCCAAGATATTCAGCAGGAAGCCTTATTATTGCCAAGAAACACGTGTGCCTCGGATACCAAAGATTGACATGTCCTGATGTTTCAACATTCCTGGAGAGAAATCCGACCCCCTCGGTGCCTCTACTAGGCTCCCTGGCATGCCAGCACCTCACCCCATCTGTCCAGAGTGGCACTGTGCCTTCTCATGTGGCACTACACCAGTTACAGAGCACAGGTGCCAAATATATGCTTAACTCAAAACCCTGAGAAAATGCAGCAAATGACTTCCCTGCAAGAAAAATGGCATCTCCTGCCAAACTGGATTCATGCTTCATTAGAAAAGGGTGGCAAGGACTTGCCATTGAAAACCTCACCGAGAAATGACCACTCTTAACATTGTCATCTAGCTTGAGGCCCTTCTACCTTGGAGTATAAATCTCACATTGTGAGGTTCACAAGTAGTTCCGCTAGTTGTACTGGATTTTAGAACAGTTACAGCTGAGGGCACCAACACAGTGCCTGTACATACAGTGCTACTCTTGAGGAATTCCCCTAGTGCCCAAAAAGCACCCAAGGCCTCCCTTCGGCTCACTGTCCTCTTGGTCATGAGGTGGTAAGCATGGTAATTCCACCCCACCATCTGCCACAAAGCACTTAAAGGTGAAAGAGGCAGTGGGTGGAGTGTTTCCAAGGGTGAAATGAACACCTGAGTAGATGAACAGAAAGTGGAGTGAATGAAGAGGGCAGGAGCACAAGGGAAGAAATCTGGGAAGCTTGTGGGGAGGAAAACATAGCAGCCAAGTGGGAGAAAGAAGGGTAGCATAGGAGTCATGGGGGGAGGGAGAGAAAGAGAAGGTACACATGTATGAAAACATATTCAATCCATCTAAACCAGAGCTTTCCAAACTGTGTGTTGCAACATGTTAGTGTGCCAGCTGCAGTGTATAGGTGTGTCACTTCTCCCGGGGCTGGAAAGGGGTTAGTTTAATCACCAGTTTGCTAGGAAAACTGAATTACTGTGTTGCAAAATGATGCATGTCTAAAAAGTGTGTCACCCAAAGTCTGGAGAGCTCTGATCTAAACAGATCCTCTTGAAATAGTATAATCAAATCACAAGTCAAAACACAGATCACATTGTCTCAATTACCTGAACCTTAAAAAATAATAGATCCAGTGCTTTCTAGCACTGCCATAACATAAAGACATGGACCCAAAGCATAGATCCTTGTGGATTCTCAAATCTTTTTTACAAATTATCATCTCAAAACCACCATCAAATCGTAGGTCGCCTCTGTGTCCACAGATCTGTTCTGTGGTTTGTTGGTGGTTTTGTTGTAATTCTGTTGTAATTTTGTGTCAAAATCATGAAAATCCATGAGAATCTGTGGCTTGGATCAATGCTTTTGTGGTGCTGTAGGGATTGTTACTGTGCAATCTGCCATTGTATGGTTTAATTTGATAGTGGGGGTGGATCCCATGTAAAATAATACATATTCAATAGGATCTGTCAGCTGGATCTGACTTTTATCCAGACCATTTGGAAAAACAAATGATATGTGTGTGCGCTTTTTCTGTCTGTTGTGGGGATGGGGAGAGACTGGCCTAGGGGAGGGCAGAGAGAAGCAGCTGCATGGGGTGATGCCTGTAGCACTCTCCCAAAATTCCCAACAGGCTCCAAAAGGTTGGCAACCCCGAACATATTGCCAACCTTGTCAAAAACAGGTTGACATCACAGAACTGAACACACAGTTTTGTGCACACAAAACTGTGTACACTGAGAATGAATACACAGAAGTGAAGTAATATATGGGTCAGGCTATCAAGGATGCAAAAAAAGTCAATAATTAATTCCCCCCTCCCCACGATTTATAGGAGGCACAAGAGCCAGTGATGTGTCAGAGAGACAGAGGAGACACAGCATGAAATGTAGCTAATAGGAAGCGGGTCAGCCGTTTGTGGCCTGATGACCCTTCCCTTCCATCTTGGCATAGATCTTCTTCTTCATAGTTATAGATAATGCTATTCTTCTGTGTCCAATACTATGTCATATTGTTATGCTTCAGATTCAACAAGTTAAAAGTACCCTGATGCTGCACGTGGAATTGCTGTTCCCAAAGCTATGACAACGATTTTGCCAAGTAATGTGTTTGCAGCTGCTTGATTGGCTGCAAGTTATGACCAACCAAAGTCACAATTCTGCAGTTAGAGCAAAGCAAGTTGGGTGGGGAATACAGGTAATAACATTATTCTTTTAAATTACTAGTTCTTAGTCTTATTGCGGGGCAGGGGATTCCCTTTAAGGGGAGTTGATATACAACTCAGGCTGCTATTTGTACTTGGTTAAACCAGTTTCAATTTAACTGGGAAAGAGCGCTGAGCCAGACAACGTAAGTAGATCATTGCAACCTGAGAATTATCTGAGATTTTTTTAATGGGAATCCAAATCCCCTTCTGAAATGCAATATTAACAATGGGCTACATTGCAGGTGTAGAGATGTAACCATGAGCTGCCCAGCAGGGTATACTACTCATTCAGTTCACCCTGTAGTGTAGGGATAAAACAATGGATAACAATCCATGTACTCTTTCCACTTCAGCCCAACCTGCAATAGGGTTCTAATACTCCTGGAATGAACAGCTATAGGACAGCTGCATATTCCTGCATTGCAGTGGGTTGGACTAGATGATCCCCAGTGTCCCTTCCAACTCTACAATTCTATGATTCTATGAATTGATTGGAATCTCCAGTTCTACAGTGCTTTTAAAGACATTGTTTCACACTAAATAAGAAAGAGCATGAACTCTGCTACCTATTGGGCTATTTTGGGAGTTGAGTAGGGTAGAGATACTGGTATTTAATCCAAGGCTGGCTCTATACAAAGGGGGGAAATGCTATAAATAAGTCATAAATTAAATTGTTATAACAAAAGTAAAAAAGACTCTATGTAAAATTGCATAGACAAAGTTTTGTGCTCTACAGTGCCATCTGGTGGCACATGTTAATAATTACAGGTTGGTAGCTGTGTTGATCTGCCGTAGTCGAAACAAAATAAAAAAAAATCCTTCCAGTAACACCTTAGAGACCAACTAAGTTTGTTATTGGTATGAGCTTTCATGTGCATGCACACTTCTTCAGATACACTGAAACAGAAGTCACCAGACCCTTATATATAGTGAGAGGGTAGGGAGGGGCATTACTCAGAAGGGTGGTGGGAATGGGTGATTGGCTGATAGGTGTGGTGAACCTGTTGACGACTGATTATAACGCAGTCATTGCATTGTAACATGGCTAATACAGTGGTACCTCCAGTTACGAATGGGATCCGTTCCGGAGGCCCGGCCGTATCTTGAAGATTTTGTAACCGGAGGTGCCTGTTCTGCACATGCACATGGTGCTGTAGAGTGCTTCTGTGCATGCGCGAGGCGTGCAGAGTGCCAACACACTTCCAGGGTTGCCACGCTCGCAACCTGAAG